CTCACCCCTAACTGCTGCAAAGTCATGCACCAGTGAGAGTGGCAGTAAAATGTGGCTCGCCACACTGCTCAAGAAAATCTTCCAGAACAAGAAAAATAGCTTAAACTGTTAGCCCGACCTCCAAACTCCCCAGATCCCAATCCGGTGAGCAACAGTGGAAAGCACAAGAATCAGACCAAGGAGTCCCCACCCAGCAAACCACAGGAACCAAGGGTCCACTGCCAACATCCCAATGTCAGACACCGCCATTGTATACATGTATGTGTAAGCATGTTCATGGGAATATTTATGTATTTTTTTTAAGATCCACTGTATTTCCAGTCCTCTGATACAAAGTAATGCTTTTGTTAATTGAAAAAATGAAGAAAATGCATAAAAAAGCCTTATGAAACCAAAGAATCAACCTCAGCATCTTCTTGTTGCTAACACACCACGTGTTCTCCTACTGGGAAAAAACACTTTGGTCCAAACTATGTGACTGTCTGTCAGTTCAAGGTTTAATAACATCTTCAGTGTGATAAAAGCACGATCTGCAGCCAGATTGTAAATTATGACTTCCACAATCTCTTAATTTTTGAACTTTGTCACTATCTTATCAGTACTGCATAGTTTCTCATCCTATAAATGGATAAACAAGGTCGCCCTGACTTCAAGCTGCTCAACGACCTTGTAAAATTGAATCCATGTAGGTTTTCATTAAGTGTTTTAGTAGGCCAGAAAATAGTGCTTAAATGTTTTTGTGAAGGCAGAAAAAACATGTTTCACTTTTCTGTGCACTAGTGAATTGTTTGTATATGGCACAATCTGTTTACTCACCCTTCCCTTCTTGCCCTTCTGTGTGGTTTTTTTTCTCATTTATCTGTTATTTGTATCCTTATCTCTTTCTTCCCATTGACTATGACAGTGGACTTTATCACAGTATGGCATCTTGAAGGATGTTTCCATTTCTAAAGTGCATCAGGAAGGGAGAGAAGTGGAGGAGCTTTAACTTGAGACTCTATGAGGAAGGGTTTTTAACCTGTGAAGTCATATATGTCCTTTTTTGTCACATTGTGTGAAGTTAATTAAAAGTAAGACAAAATATAAAGATGGTCTAAACACTGTCACATCTGAGATCATAAAAAACAGACAATACAGCTGTTCCAAATGTAATTGATATGGCTTTAAAACGACTTCCGGAAAGGAAGGCTGTGTCATTTTGTTCTGTTGCTTGCATCTATGATGGGAGGGACCAAGATGTGAGGAGAGGGTTTGAGGAAAGGAATGAAAGAAGTGAAAACTGAGAAATGTATATGCTCCACCCGTGTCCTGTTGTCTTCCCCTGTCATCTGCCACATTGTCCTCATTATTGTGCACGCACTGTTTTCCGGTAATCCTCGCCTCATGTTAGACTTCCTTTTTGTCTCTGACCCAATTTTGTCTCTGTTTTTTTTCTTTGCTTGTTTCTCCTGGGGTTTTTTCACCTGTTTACTGTATACCTGACTCAGCTTTACTACAGTAAAGGGTTTTTAACTTTCACCTGATCTCCCTGGTCACCACAGATAATATTCATTACAGTGACTCTTGTTTTGTTGTTCTACAGATTAATCTTGTCACATGAAATCACACAGATATTCACCAGGGGGAGGTATAATCTCAAACATAAGAGACTGAGCTCTGGCCAGCCTGACCGACACATGCAGGTTCACATAGCTTTTGTCTTTGTAGAAACCCCTAGCCGAGTTCATCAGTAAACGCAGCTGCAATCCAATTTTAGGATCCTCAAGTATGTGAGAAACAAATATAGCAATCCGCCTGCTGCCTGCTGTTAATGTGACAAAGCAGCCTACAGGCTCTGGTTTTAATGCCAATAATGCTCCACTGACTATATTTATAATCATGCTAGTTCTTGTTAATCTATAACAAGTTCCTGGCAGTGTGCTCACACCGAGACAGCTGATGATTAATCGGTTTAATGTTTACAAGCTTAGCTAATATTTGTGAGTAACTATAATCGTGACTGAGGCTGAACTCTTACTAAAGTATCACAAAAGTCAGATTCAGACTCTGATACACTGTCAACCACAAAATTTAGCAGAAAACAAAACATTAAGGTAACCGATTAAAGTGGAAAGTTTTGTTCTATAGTCCTTTGCATTTTTTAAAATATTAGTCAAAAGTAGTGTATCGCTATGATTTCGTTACTGTGGACAGGCACAAGTAACAACTATGCAATCTCAGATTAAATACTGCCATTACTGATACGAAAACATGTGTTTAGCACACTAATTTGCTATTTTACTAATGCTGATGCTAATGATAGCCTTTTAGATCGGCGTCTGCACTGGATTGCAATGTACAGTGACGACAAATCACATTAGACCACTGAAGAAAAAGCATTTTGCATCTGAGACAGCCTTATCTTACCCAAGCTTTATTATGGCAGAAAAGTAAAGGAGCAGGCATCCAAAAAAGATCTACCTATTCAGCTAAGCTGCAAAATGTACTATTAAAGGAATGCTCTGTTTTCAATGTAAAATACATTACAATAGATAGAGTTAAAGAGGACCAATTATGCTCATTTTCAGCTTCATATTTTTACACTTAGATTTCACTGGAGTAGCTCTGAATGAGTCACTGTTTAAATATTCTTTGTTTATCTTATGCTGGGCCTTGGTGGAGCCCCTCTCCACTGTTCACTTGCAGTTCATAAACCTTCTGATAACAACAAATGTTAGCTCCCTTTGCTCTCCCTTTACCCGAATTTCCTTCTCATTGGCTGTCCCTTATAAAGAGGTTTTATCAGCAGGGGTGTTTGGAACACACAATATGTTAACTAATCTCCTATAAACTTATAAGGTTTATACTTACATTATAAACCTTATAAGTTTATAAGGTTTATAATGTAAGTATACATCTAAATGTCTCCAATTACTTTGGACCTTGTGCTATAATCTGTTAAATGCTCTTGAGAAGAACACGGGTGGCTACTTGCTAGGCTGACCTATAAATAAGAGACTGCAGACATCAGTCTCTTTGTTTGGCATAAAAAAAAGTAACAAAGTAAGAAGAGAATATTTCTAAAGCTTTTTGATCACCATCTTCACTTTTTGTTGATCCCCCAATGGAAGTAAAAAGAGATCAAATTGTGGTTTTATGAGGGGGTCTCGTGTTTGACTGTTTCTTGACTGACGTCACATAACCTTTGATAAAAAACACGACTTGGTGCTTTACAGGCTCTATAACACACTGATTTTTATGTGTGGTAAAGTGTTGAAGTTCCCCTTTAAAATAAAAAGATGATATGAGACTGTGCAGCAAGAAGCTAAATTCAACACGGCAAAGGGTCAGTGTAAAGTCAGAGGACACAAACATGTTGAAAGCAAATGAGCATATTGGGAAACTTACTTCTTTAAATTACTTAATTTGTTACACACACACACAGCTTGACCAGCTATTAGCCATTAAAAATCAGGAAGAAATCAGGTTCGGGCCAAGCAGAAGGCTGTGTACAAGCAGTTTCAGGAAGATGAGAATGAATGCATGTCAGCACTGCTGCACATTTCAGGCTCTCAGCACATCTGTGCGTCTCTGTTAATTAGCCACATGTTCTCAGTTAGGTATTGTGCTGTCATTCAAGTGCTTGTTGTTCCACATTTAACTCTTGGCAGTGTTTGGAACAACACGTCTGCTCTTCCAGTGGAAACATGATGCTGCGTAAGAGACAGAGTTCTTTCTATGGCCTCTTTCAGTTGAGATTGTATCAAGCTATTGTAGTGCTGCTGACTTACTCTTTGTTCTTCCTGTGAGTCAGAGTGGGATGGCCAAGAATTCATTTAGTAACGTAGGGTAAGGAAGCTGATCTGCACAGGACTTTTGTCCCTATAAATGAAACTTATACGAGATGGAGTAAAAAATCACACACACACACAAACACAATAGAGTTAAAATGTGTAATGTTTAATTATTGCAGATTGCACAATATTTCTTTTATTAAAATGAAAATGTGCAGAAATGAAACGTTTGTTAAATCAAAGTAGTAAGATGGGTCTGATTTGTTTTTATCTGTTGATTCAAAACAGATTTTTAAGACTTTAAAAATCCCTAAAACATTGCAGCAAAGGTGTTTTTTAATGCAGAATAGTACAGTTATTCTTTTCTCCTTCATTTAAAATCCAGACACTGATCAGCGTTTAGCAATACTGGCTTTAAGTTACTACATCATGCAGGAAGTTGGACCAGGATTGGCCTCCAGTCAAGTCGTGACTAGACTGGTAAACATCTTGACCTCTCTTTTTTTGCATGAGCTCAGAGTCCTTTTCCTCTATTAGCAGATGACCTAGTAAAGAGTCTTTTTTGTTAAATTCTGTGCAGGTAAAACATCGAAGTGACATGACAGAGAAAATGCAGAAAAACATTTTGATGATCACGAATTTCAGTATAATTGAAATCCCAAAGGGGACATTTCTGGTATAAAGATAACATAAAAAGTCTTCTGTGTTCTGTCCACATTAATGACGATATATTGCTCGGGATGATAAACATGGTTAATCACACAAAGCTGTTAATTTAGCTTCATATTATTTATCTACCGACCACTTTTCTCATATATATGCTGTAAACCAAACTTTAAAAACTGTCTAGGCTGGTTGAAGCTGAGTCATCGTGTTCCTGATTTATGGTAAAGCCCTATTAACTCTGATCTTGCCAGCAGCTACAGCACCACATTCCCAGACCAGAATATCCAACATTTCCTTTAGAAAAATAATGTACAAGTCATTGTGTCTCGATTGGGCGTCACCGCTGTCTTGTTTCCTGACGATAGATTTACAGGCAACTTAAATATTCATAGTTTCCACTCTGCCCCCCTTGTAGCCTCCAGTGGTCAAACATTTACAGTTGGTGTGAATCACAGTTGTCACTGATTCACATCCTGGGGTCCGCACAAAGCTGGAGTCTCTCTGAGAACAGAGGTGGTGTTTTGAGCTGATGCTGATTGACAGTTAGTTTACTTAGTTAATTCATTTATATACTTTGTGAACATTCAGCACAATTAGAGATCAGAGTTTAACAGAAAATCAGGTTTCAGAAGAGTGATTAGGAAAACGTGGTGCTTTGCATCTATTTCAGTGGACAATCATGAATTTGATGAATGAAAATCAGTTTTAACAGTCAATCCTGAGGAATCCTAAACTGCAAGCATACACTCACTGGAAGCTTTATTAGGCATACCTTGCTAGTTCCAGGTTGAATGCCCTTTGTCCTTAAGAACTGCCATAATTTACTTAAATACATATAAAGATAACATCAACAATGTGTTGAAAACATTCCTCAATTTTGGTCCATACTGACACGACAGCATCACATCAAGGTGGCTGTAGCTGAGGAGGTAGAGCAGGTCATGTACTATTCCCTGGCTGCTCCACTCTGCATGCCAAAATTATTCTTGGGTATCCATAGTGCAAAAAATATCTAACAAAAACTCAATGCTATCTTTGTTTTTGTTCCTGTCTTATTTCCATGCACACAGCATTTCTTTGAGTCTTCTTTTGGAAAATCTGTTGATAGCTTATTACAATCCAAATAATAAGCATTCCTGTACACATGAAAAAATGTATTAAAATGGGAACTGATCTGCCATTAAAAACTCCTACTGTCTGCCTCTATCAAAAGTCAAATTGCTTGCAGCAGTATAACTGAAAGCAGTTCCACAGCCTTGGACAAACTGGGCAAATTCAGTTTTATTTGGAGCATACTGCTACCCTTACTTCTTGTTTCTCATGCGTTGACAAATATCAGACGGGTGGAGTAGATCAGGTCTGCCAAGTAGAGGATGAAGTTGACACCGGTGAGTACAGCCACTGTCATGCCCTTATCCCATGAACACAACCCCAATTGTGTGTTGCAGTTGTATGGCCTATTTTTATTCCCACCGTGCCTGGGGTCAAAGTTGAAGATAGGCCAGATGATGGTTGCTAACAGGTAGAGGACCACAGCCAGCATGGCGTAGGCTGACAGGAACCGGGGGAACGGGAAAGGCAAGCACCCGGTACACTCGCCAATACAGAGCAGGATGATGGCTGCTGACAGGATGAAGCAGATGCAGTACACGGCCATGCAGTACTTCAGTGCATGGTGATGGTCGTACAACACGGGATCAGTCACAAAGACAAAGATGATGCAGGCCACGAAGGTCTCACAGACTTTCAATAGTCCAGGTCCTGTGGCCATGTAGCCGGCCACCTCACCTGGACGTGCCTTGCTGATGCTCACCTCGCTTATGTAAGCAATGGTAGCCAAGCAAGAGAAGACGGCTACTATGATGCTGTAATCGCGGATTGTACTGGGGCCCATAGAACCTTTGAGGAAGTAGAGTGGGAAGATGATAGAGGCGGACAAACAGAGTAGGGCAGCGTAGCAAGCAAAGGTGATAGGGAAGTTCTTCCAGGAAACAGGGACTTTCGTCTGCAGACCGAAGAGCTCCACCAGAATCACGAGCAGAGTGCCGGCAAAGCTGAAGGCCCAGCAGAAGATGCACCAGTCTCCGGTGCCGGGGATGATCCTGGCACCATGCACAGCCACAGAGAATGCCACACAGGAGAAAGCCAGGGCTGCCAGCCGTGTCCACAGCAGAGGGTTGAAGTGGAGGACTATTGCCATGATGAGAGGTGAATTGGGCGATGAGAGAAGCAGAACAGATTCCTCCTATTTGTTGGAGTTTCCTCTGTCAGGCAGAGAAAATTGTAAGAAAAAGAAAATGATTAGTGGTATTCTAGAGTCTGATGCAACTTTTTATGGCTCCAGATGAAATACAAGCTATAACTATGTGAGGCCAGCAGTCTGTGCCCAAAGAGAGTCAGTCCTCCTACATAATAATTTCTGAGTGAAACAATGATGCCTTTGTATTTTCATGAATGGCTAAAACAAATGAAATGGTGAAAACACAAAGTGAAACTGCAAATATGACATCACTGTGATCAAACACATCACAACCCATTTGCATCTGGTCAAATCAGCTGGTAAACACACCAGCTTTTATTTCTCTGGTAGTTTATGTCATACAAGCTTGTATTAAACCCTGGATGTTTCCATTGTGACAGGTAAATGTGTATATTTATTGACTCATATTACCAATTATTTTCCTATGTGTGTGTGTCACACACTTAATATTAAATATCTATACCAGATTCTGCAGCTTCTAATAAACTTTGACATATTTCAGTCTTGACTTACAAGGGGATTGACTCACATTGTGACATGACAAAGCTACACCAACAGGGTGGCTAAAAAAAGTTTAGAGTTAAATAAAATGTTCAAATTGGACCATACAGGAGCTTTAAATAAACCAAAGCATAAAAACATGAAAGTAACACACAAACATCTGTTAATCATGTGGTTTTATTGAAACACTGGAATACATTTTCCTTCAACACTGATGCGGTTTCCACACTTGAAACAGCAAAGTATAAAAAATGTAAAGACTACAATCCTAAGAGCATGTAGACGGAGTGAAACCTTTTTTAATAGATTTCTATGAGCAGTACCACACAAACTGACATAGCATTAGTAGGTTCTTTGATATTTGGAGACACCAGAAATATAAACACACAATGAAAACATTAATGCGTGCACTTTGACTATATGCTTTCCTTGTTTTTTTCAGATATGTTCTTACAATAGATTGTAGTTCGCAGACACACACACTCCATAACAAGAGCAAAACCTAGGCTACCAATCATCTTTAACATCATGTAAACCAATTCATAACTTCTTTAAATCATTGAAGTGTTGATATCATGAACTTAAAAAAAGAATAATTGCCAGAACCCAAAAACTCAACATTATTGTTGTTTTTATTCCACTCTGTCTTTTCTACATGCACACAGCATTTTTTGAATCTTCCTTTGGAAAATCTGTTGACAGATTACTACTATCCAAAGCATCCCTGCATACATGAAAACTGTATTTTCTGTATTAAAATGGGAATTGATTTTTGAGTAATATCAGCAGATTCCAGCAATCACATTCAGGTCTCTATATAAAAGATAAGAGTCTATTTGGGTGACTGGAAGCCAATATATTTGCCATTTACATGCCCCAATACATGAACAGAAAGTCATATCGTTGTATGTGTAGACACAACCACTAACTTGCTTCCAACTCCTCCCATCTCTTTCTCTCTCTCTCTTTCTCTCTCTCTCTCTCTTCCTCTCTAAGAAATTCAGTCATGCAGTATACTTCACACAAAATTAAATTCGGCAAGGTTTCAGGGCTAATTTCTAAAGTTTCAGGCCAAAAAGAGCGCAAGATCTGTGTTTTGACCAGCCGAATATGTCAATCTTTGCCTATGAAAAGCTTCATTCATGGTTTGAGCACACTCTCTTTTGAGTTTTTTAAAATGCATGTCCATATTTACTACTGCACAGTTACCTTGGGCCATAGGGCATGCTTTTCTCCTTCTGTCTAGTTCTAGCAAAAGTCAAATCATATCATTTTCAGGGTAAATTTCAAACAACAAATTGAGTCATACAGGATTTGTCTCAGCTGTGCTATCATGCTAAAGTTTGCTCTTTAGCCTCCTATCACGACTTGTCCTCTAGTGATTCCATTAAAGTGACCAGAGTGCTAAACTGAGTATGCTTGCAGCAGTAACAGTGACAGCAGTTCCAAAGCCTTTATCAAACTGGGCAAATTCAATTTTATTTGGAGCATACTGCTAGCCTGACTTCCTGTTTTTTAAGCATTGACAAATACTAGACTGGTGGAGTAGATCAGGTCTGCCAGGTAGAGAATGAAGTTGATAGCAGTGAGTAGAGCCACTGCCATGCGCTTATCCCATGAACACAACCCCGATTCTGTGCTGCAGCTGTATGGCCTATCTCTATTCCCACCATGCCTGGGGTCAAAGTTGAAGATAGGCCAGATGATGGTTGCTGACAGGTAGAGGACCACAGCCAGCATGGCGTAGGCTGACAGGAACCGGGGGAACGGGAAAGGCAAGCACCCGGTACACTCGCCTATACAGAGCAGGATGATGGCTGCTGACAGGATGAAGCAGATGCAGTAGACAGCCATGCAGTACTTCGGTGCATCATGACGGTCGTACAACACGGGATCAGTCACAAAGACAAAGATGATGCAGGCCACGAAGGTCTCACAGACTTTCAATAGTCCAGGTCCTGTGGCCATGTAG